TTTCATACATATAGGAAAATAAAAAAATATATTTTCAATAAATTATTGATTCAATCCTTTATTTACTATACTCCTATTACCACTGTTTATATACATCAAACGATGCACTATATACTATATACCTAATTCTTTTTCTCTTTCTGTTCTCTCTTACCTATAGAAGTATAACTTCTACCGGCAGTCCCACTGGACTGCCACACCCGTTTTTTTATTTATTACGTTGGAAATAATGTTCTTCAAATATAAATTCACACTATTTAAAAGACGCTGGTCACCTGAAATTAAAACTCAAAAATATACATGTACCTCCAAATACTAGCAGTAGTTATGTATATTATCATGTTTAAATACTTATGATATTACATTTTAATTTGTATTGTATTATTATATTATTATGTATATATTATATTTTTATATTAATAACAATGAATTTTACTGCAGAGTATGTGTAAAAAAATTTTTGCATTCAACTCCTTTCATACATATATGAAAATAAAAATATAATTTTCATCAAAATATTGATTCAATTCTTCATTTACTATACTAGGTCAAATGTTGTTTATATACAGCAAACGATGCACCATATACCTATATACCTAATTTTGTTTCTCTTTCTGCTCTCTCTTACCTATAGCATTACATATGTAATGAATGTGCAGATTGATTCCCATATAAATTTGTAACGGCGAACGCGTGTATAGAAGTATAACTTCTATCGGCAGTCCCACTAGACTGCCACACCCGTTTTATTTATATAGCATTTTGCTTATGACATTCTGGATTTTTTAGGGAAATGTAGGGAATAAGCCACAAAATATTTATTTACATGTTTAATTAACTGACGTTTCGATCTGTATTGATTTGTTTTGATTTTTCAAAGTAATACTGTGAGAAGTTGTCGCTGCCCTAAATAGTTAAAGGGTTTTTTGATATATTTGAAGTTTTTTTCTTTTTTAAAATAAAGTGTAAACAAAATCAGGTAAATTAACCTAAAAAATGCAAGCTATGGGAGAAACTGTAAGTATTGATAAATCGGGTATTGTAAATTAAATTTTGCAAAATGGGTTTTCATATATTCCATACGAACAACAAATTGATATTAAAAATAAGGAGCGTCCTTTGATTAAAATGTCCCGGTTTATAAATATTAGTACGGGGGATAAGGGAGTGATATATTATTTTCGGATAATTGGTACAGCAATTACTTATGGCTTACCAGGAGTGAAATAAAAAAAACAAACTTCTCTGTTGGCCGTGGGTGGTGTGAATCTGGTTACGCTAATTTAAAGAAATTCTTCAGGGTTTTATAGAAACATGATATTTAGAAAGATACAAACCAGATTAAGTTTTGGAAAACAAAATATTTTTTTTATGTTTTCAGGAATGATCATTTATGGGACACGATAAATCGGAGCATTCGTTAACTCAAGATAATTATAGAGAACTAATAAAAATGTTCAAAAAATACGATTTAAAATTTACTTTCTGATTCGAAAACATTTAGCGACGTATATAATAAATTAATAGAATCAATTAGTTACATTTTGAATAACGTTATTGAATCTGAGATTCAGGAAGCCATTTGCTTTTCGCTAGTAGATGAAACTACCGATATATCATGTTATTCACAATTATCAATTGTTGTTCGATACGCGTTACGTGGTAATATCTATGAGAGGTTTTTTAGGTTTTACAGACGTGAGTAAAAGCCATACTTAAAGAGGAATATATATTTGGTGTTTTAAAGAACAGATTAAAAATTTTTGATATCAAACATAAATTGGCATGGCAAACTCATGACGACGCTGCCTTGATGTCCGGTGAATTGAATAGTCTCAAGGCAAAAGTTAAAGCTATTGCACCGCAAGCTTTATTTACTCACTGTCATGCGCATAGAATGAATTTGGTTTTGCAGGATATGTGTAAAAAATTAAAGTATGTCATCTTTTTTTTTGCCAGTTTAAGCGGATTTACTTCATTTTTTCCAAGCTCGCCTAAGCAGACTAATGTTTTATAACAACTTTTTTTCGAAAAAAATATCAACAGTTTGTCAGACCGAAAATCACTTTTGATTGACAGGGAGGAGATAATATGCCGGAGAAGAAATTATCTAAGATCCATACGAAAATTCCGGGCTGAAGGAAGGCCAATCTTCTACCAGGATGAAATGTGAGTAAACTCAGGTCATAATCATTTCTGACCAAAAATTTGGTCAGATAAAAATATATTAAGCTCCAGGCAAGCCTTTATGGAAGGTTAGTCTACTGGTATCTCCCTACTTTCTGGTAAAGGCATGTAGATTAATAATTTCTCACATTGGCAGTGAAAAACGATTTGTTAAGCATGGTTTATTGGAATTTCAGTCCAAAAGCACAAAAGACTATCACGAGGAGATGACAGCTGATGTTTTCGAAAAGTATTTTGAGCAGATGATTGAACACATACCACCAAATTTAATTATAGTATTAAATAAGGCACCTTATCATTCACGACTAGTAGAAAGACTTCCAACGACTGCGTGGAAGAAACAGGATATTCTTGACTGGCTGCGGAATAAGTATCTGCCTTACGAAGATGGAATGGTAAAAGCAGAACTTTTAAAAATTGCCCGGCAACACAAATCTAAGTTCAAGAAATACGTAGTTGACAAAATGGCGGAAAGGCAAAACATCACAGTCCTTAGACTTCCACCCTACCACTGCGAAAGAAATCCAATTGAACTCATTTGGGCATAAATGAAAAGTTATGTAGCTAGAAAAAATACGTCATATAAAATACAAGCTGTACGTGAATTATTATACGAGTCTTTACAACATATTACAGAACAAAACTGGAAAGATGTAGTAAGACATGTAATAGAAGAAGAACAAAAAATGTGGGATCTTGATAACATAATTGATGCGACCGTAGAGACACAACCGCTACTTATTAACCCTCAAGACGACTCGGTTTCCGAAGTTGATCCTATTTATTTTGAATTTGAATAGTTTTATAATCGTAATTATATAAGGTAAGTAATAGTAGTTGTAATAATTAGGTGTTAAAGGGGAAAGGCTCAAAATGTCGCCTGTCAAAATGTTCAATGTGTTTTAAATGTATCCATTTTTTCTTCAAATCCTGAGAAAACTAAAAAGCATTTTTGAAAAATTTAAAGGCAGAATAAAATATTTATTAGAATAAATAAAAAGTTTATATTGTTCTGAAGCTATTTTCTTGTGGCATTGTAAATTAATTACTATTTATAACTGGGAATAAGCCACAATTAAAGATAAAAATACGTTTATTGACGTTTCAATTTCCAATTCGGAAATCGTTCTCAAAATACAAACAGTAAATTGTTTGTATTTTGAGAACGATTTCCGAATTGGAAATTGAAACGTCAATAAACGTATTTTTATCTTTAATTGTGGCTTATTCCCAGTTATAAATAGTAATTAAAAAGTTTATTTTGCATGCAATATTTTCAATTAAAAATTATACTATATTTTCTCTTTTATTTTCACTCTTGTTAAGTACATAACATATTAAAGTTTTCAGGGACTTTCTGCTCTCAGTAATAATGTAATCTTTCATTCTGCGTCTAAATTTTTCAAAAATATTTAATAGTTTTCTCCGCATTCGAAAATAATGGATACATTTAAAACACATTAAAAATTTTGCCAGGCGACATTTGGCGCCTTTCCCCTTAATTAAATAAATGTATCTTTTACAAATGGCAAGAAACTTTTTATTTTTTGAATCAAATAAAGAAGCTTTATTAAAACAAAAATACAATTTACATAGGTTCAATTTAAAAAATAGATTTATTTAGTTCAAATAAATGTTTCAATCATATACTCTACGACACTGTTCGGTCATCTGTAACCAAAATACCTTCGTAATCGGATTATAAGGTTGATTGCTGTATTGCATTCCTTTAGATACAAGGTAGGTTAGTCGAAAACATCTTAAACCGTCAGTTTCAGATTGGTTTTTACTATTATATCATATTACCTATCCTCTTTGTATTTCAGTTCTCTAATTAGGGTTAAACTTGTAGTAAGCTATCGACAAATTGTGAACAGATTATAGACAAGTTTAATTCTCTCACTACCACCAATTTCTGCTATAAATGAACGGGAATAGAAAAACAAACTTTTAAAATCTCTCCAAAACTTAATAAAATTTTACGATGACGTTATAACCTCCATTTTGTTACTTTCACACAACGTAGACTTAAGCTAATTTATAAACAAGTTTAGGTTCGAAATTTATAGGAAAAAATAATAATTTATTAATTTCTTTCTTTCTTAATGCTTTTTTTTAACCAAAATGATCGATTTAAAGTAATAACGGCTCAGTCAGTAGGATTAATAAAACATTGTTATAACAAGTAACTAAGTTTAGTAAAATTATCCTTTTTTGTAGTGATTTCAAGAAAATAACAGATTTGTACTATATTTTATAGTACTTATATTTATTTATAACAAATAAAGTTCTTTTTTAAAAATTTACAGAAGTACCTAATTTAGGGACTGCACCAATTAAGTAATTAGCGCAGTCAGGAGGATTCGTTTAACGTTGCTAGAGCAAGAAAGTAAAATAAAAGTACACTTTTTGTAGACATTTCAATAATATACTGTTCTATACTATATATGTATATATATACAAATTCCATCACATTCGTCAAGAATGCAACCATGAACTAGCGCAGGTAAAGGTTATTAAGACTAACAAATTTTCGTATGGTACCAAAAATAAATAAATAAATAAAAAAAATAAAACACAGTCAGTCCATTTATTAATAATTATAATTCAATATTGAATAAAAAGGGAAATAAATTAACAACAATGTAAGTAAATTTTATTTCAATGATAACAAATAAATAAACTTTATTCGGATTAAAAAGCATTATCTCTTAAACCAAACCCGTGGTAATAGTTAATAGAATCTGGTAACGGTAATATATTAAGCTATTGTTGTAGGACAGTAACTTCATCGTCAGTTAATAAGTTGTTACCTGTAGAGCTGTCCTTGTTGGAATCGGGGTGCTGCTCGTCTTAGGAGTAGTTTTCTGGTAAATACAGACTTTATGTTATTAGTATAAAAACAGCACACTTATTATCGTTTTAGAAATTTAACACATAAATCGCTTTAATATTCAAGGGCTCTTGTCACGGTTTTAACAAATTCAAAGTGACTCTGTTCAAACCTAGTGTAAAAAGTAGCGCATGCTGTGGGAAAAAAGGGTGATTTTACATTGTAATCCAGGAATGTATGTAATGTGGCTTAGGTTATAAAGGGCAGCCTCAGGAGCAATCCCCCAGTTTATTCAACAAAAAATTTCTGGTTATTGTTTACTTATGAGCGTTTATAGGTACAAAATTAAAATTACGAATCGAATGAGCCGTAGTAGGCCTAGATCGTTTAATTTGTTACTGAGATACGTTAATTAGTTTATCCCACGACCTACAACTTTGAATGCTCATAGGAGAATATGGCCGGTTTGCGCTCGACCGTTTTGCGCCCTTACCTGAAATCGACCGGATTGCGCTTTGCAATTTTCATAATAGAAATATCTAACTACTATAGTTTCCTTAATCGGTCGATTTGCGTTCTCTTGCAATATAATTTTAATTTCATTCTACAATAATAGTCTGGTGAACCTGCAATGAACATACTAACATGTCAAATAAACAGAAACATCTTTTTCCTTTAGATTTGAAAAAAAAGTCAAATCAAAACTAACAAAATTATTAAATTTTTCTAATACTGTCCAACAACAGAGTGTTCTTTAATACCTCTTTTATAATCCTTCTACCTAGAACAGTGGTTCTCAACCTTTTTGTGGCGACGGCACCCTTTTAATTACCGAAAAAAATTGCGGAACACCAAAGCAATAACATGCATATATTGATAAACAAATTAGGATTAGCACATAAATTCTGTAATAAACTTTATTATACGTACTCAAATTTGTAAAATTTTACTTAAAATATGAAAGCAAAAAACAGTTTTAAAATTAGCAAAAGCGTAATTCTCAAAATACATCATATGAATAAATACTTCAAATTAGTGAGACACTTGTGCCTGGTGTCGTTTGCAAATTTGCTCAATATCAGGCCTGATGTGGGAAAGAGCTACTCTCATTTCTTGTTCTAAGTTTAGCAGCCTTTCCTGTTTCTTATTTTTAATGTTTGTTAAAGATGAGAACCCAAATTCACATAAATAGGACGTTGAAAACTGTATTAAAATACTAATCGCTTTTTTGGCAAGAAGTGGATATTCCTCTTGGACCAAGATCCAAAATTCCTGAACATTCACTTCTGAAAACTTAATTTTCAGAGTACATTTTATAAGAATTTATACAACGAAATAAATTCTTCTTCTTGGTTCAGAGAAAACTGGAAATTGGCTGTATTACTTGTGCTAAAAGGACTTCTTATCCAGTCATATTTTTCTACGTTCAGAGATGGAAAATACCTGGCAATTGTCTCCTCTAATAGTGATAAGTGTTCTGTAACTATATGCGTGATTTCTTGTTCTTTATCTTCATCACCTTCATTTTGAAGCAGTGGAAACATAACCATTTTATTTGTCTCTAAAATGCGCTTCTTCCAAAATGACAATTTTTTCTGGAAAGCTGACAGCTTGTCCGTGGATGTTAAAATATTTTCATTTTTGCCTTGCATACTTGAGTTAACGCCATTTAAATAATTAAAAATATCGGCCAAATATGCCACTTTAGTGCACCATGCATCATTTTCAAAATATGTGGTAAATGTGTCATTACCTTCTTCTTGGAAAAAAGTTAACAGCTCCGTTCTAAGTTCATAAATTCGACATAATACTTTGCCCCTTGACAATCATCTAACTTCGGTGTGCAGCAACAAACATTCATACTTTGATTCCATTGAGATGCAGAGTTGTTTAACAAGACGGGTTTTTTAGTGGTCTTGATTTGATGTAATTCACGACATTAACCACTTGGTCTAATACAGATTTCAAAGTAGCTGGTAGCGTTTTTGAAATTAGAGATTCTCTATGCAAGAAACAGTGCGTAGATATGATATTTTCATTTCGCTTTTTTGCAAGGGTACAAAAACCTTTTATGGAGTCTACCATGGAAGGGGCACCATCCGTACAAATTCCTACGCAAAAGTCCAATGATATATTTTTTTTCTCTAAATATGACGTTATGGAATCAAATACATCCTGACCTGTTGTACGTACTGTAGGTTCTCTGCAGCATAAAAACTGATTGACTATTTCACCTTCGTCGACAAATCGAATAAATCCTAATAAATGAGCGTTGCCACTATCAGTGGATTCGTCCACCTGCAATGCGAAGTTTTTTTTGTAAAGTTTATTTGTAACTTTTTTCTCACTATCTGCAGATAAATCAACAATACTCCTTCTTATTGTATCATCCGACATAGGAATTTTCCGTATTTCGTTTTGTGCATCGTTGCCAAACATAATTTTGACCATCTCAACAACATGCTGGTAATATAAGAGATTCTGCAACAGTGTGTGGTTTCTGTTTCAAAGCAATTAATTCGGCGACCTTATATAACGCTATTTGTGCTTTGTCGGAAATTGTTAGCGACCTTTCAAATTGTTTCGCTTGTTTAGCTTGTGTCTCCAAAAGTCGCTTGAAATAATCTTTATTTTTTGAAGCTACACTAGCGTGTTTGGTAGTAAAATGTCGTTTTAATTTAGCCGGAGCCATTCCGCTATTAGCGAGTGTCTGCCCACAAACAATATACTTGGGAATTGGACAGTCTTCTTCCCAGTCCAAATGAAGCCATAATCCAAATATTTATCCAAATATTGCCGGTTCAACATTTTTTTGCTGCGCTTCGATTTGTCATCAACCCCACTTCGTAAAGTTCCAGTATCTCCGCTGGTGCTCGCTTCATCATCATTAATTATGAGTTGTTCCACGGTAGTTTTTCTTTTAAGTTTGAGGAACTTATCCATTTTAATTTATTTGTCACTAAACAAAATAATGCGGATGAATGCTTCACATTTTGTATAAAATATGCAATTACTTACCTTTGATAGATAAGCCGTACGTAAACCTTATCATAAAAAAACTGACACAGCGATTTTCACGTATTACGTGTGTGCAATGTAACAAATTCAACATTCAGTTGCAGACTGTGGCGTGGGTGGCTCAGATTGGTTGTGGCCACTGCGGAGCTCAGCGCTTATAAAATCCAACGAGTGCACTGTGCCGACGCGGTGTTGTCACGTTGGGCAAATGAACATTTACGCTGCAGAATTTTATTAAATTAAAATGTACGTAAGTGGCTATTTAAAATTTGAAAATATTTATTTGAAAAGAGTAATTTAGCAAAATGGTATGTAGGATTGCGAGTATTTCGCGGAACACTTGGAAGGAATTCGCGGAACACTAGTGTTCCGCGGAACACCGGTTGAGAACCACTGACCTAAAAGCTAATTGTTTAGATATAATTAGTAACTAGATTTCCCAAAATGAGAGATCGCTGGAACTCCATCCTGGAATCCATAAATTCCTGGATTAGAGAGTACTTTCCCCCCACAGCCTGGGTTAAAGTTTTATTTCTCATTGATTGTTAATTTTAGTACAATTAATAACATTTTTGAATGTACATTAAATCACCACAAAATAAAATAAATTAAATATCAAATTGTACCTATTTTCGTATTTTAAATTTTAAAAGTTTTTCGGAAAGGTAAGCAAAAGAAACTTTTAAAAAACAGATTTACGGCGCACAGTAGTATTTCTTGGTCTTCCAAAATGTTCGAAATAGGAGTTCTTTATAAAAAGCGATTCAAATTAGGTTACTTATAAGAAATGTTCCAAAACGATAATAGGTTAAAAAATATTGCAGCTTTAAAAGAAGCAAAACTACAAACACATGCGTGAAAAATTAATAAAAAATAATATAAAAAAACAAATCATAACATTAAAAAAATGTTCAAACAACATTCTCAAGCAATGCAAAAACAATAAATAAAAAAATGTTAATGCAAAACACACTATTCACATAAAACGCAATACTTTACAAAGATGTTTCGATAATTACGTGAGCTAACATACAAAACGCAAGTTTTTTGGCAACAGTATTTAATTTTTCAGTATTATTTACGTCCAGACTAAAGCTACATGGCTCCCATTCCGCTAAAGTGAAAATTCACTCATGGGGTTTTAAAGGCATGGGTGACCTGATATACTGGACGTCAATGTAGGGAGCAGTTTCACTTTCTCGTGGTCTTGGAAACCAATTTGCCAAGAACAAGCTGCTTGATGTTATCTAGGAAGCTTTTCGGAATGACAACATGCCCTGGCCATACGGATGATCTGGTCATCTTAGCCCACAATAAATGTAATGGCGCAGCCAGATTCAATTGCCATCTCCGCGGCGGAGTGTCGGCAATCATCATACATTAGATATTCGGACTTTTGAGACGACTGCTCTGAAAAGTTCATTTGATGTACTACTCTCTCAGGTTGCGTAGCCATGACAGTCTACGCCTCTCTATGCTTCTCTTTCCTTGGATCTTTCCCTGCATAACCAGTTGTAGCAAGGTCAAATTGCTACATTTCTGATTCTCAGAACCTCTTTATTGTGACGTGTTCTGTCCACGATAGTTTCAGAATTCTTCTATACACCCACAGCTCGAATGATTCCAGTTTATTCATTAATGTTGCATTCAAGGTCCAAGATTCCATTCCATCAAATAAAGTCGAAAAAACATAGCACCTCGCCAACCTAACTCTCCAGTTTTAAATCCCTGGTATATGGCACTCTTTTCATTTTGTTGAAATTTGCTCTAGCCTTTTCTATTCTGATTTTGATTTCCTGAATGTAATTATTTGTGGAGTTAATCATTGTTCCCAGATATGCATACTTGTCCACTTCTTCGACGTTGGGTTGACGTTGGTTCCGTTTATTAAAAGATTCTCGTTATTTCTTTGAGTTTTCGATATTCTCATAAATTTCGTCTTCTTGACATTCATTGTTAGACCATGTAACGATGAGTCCAAGCCATCACCGTTAAACCAGCGTGCGCGCGAACCAACCCGTATAGTAGGAGTGTATCGACAGGAAAGGGCAAAACTAATTACCAAGCTCCGCTATATAAACCGCAACATTTCCTCATAGAGGCAGAATCAACAGGTGTTGACTGAAGGTTCTCTTCTTCCCTACCCCGGCTTGTGGACGTGTTGAGTTCACAAGTTGTTCCGTTCCATACCGCCGTTACCCGAAGAGCGTGTTGAGCTCTTCATTACCCGTACTCTGAAGCAGTCGTGTTGAGACTGTCGAGGAGTGTCCTATTAACCTGAATCACTTAAGGAACGTGTTGAGTTCCTTTCCTTTCTTTTCTTTGTACCTATCGTCCGCTGTTATTAAATCGATACAACGTTCACGTAAAATTTCAAAAACACACTCGCTTGCCGATAAGACTACGACAAGGTCAAACTTAATTTGAATAAATAGGCCAGGTACTGAGAAGACTAAACCAAATTGTAAATATGAACATAAGATTTTTGTCAATTTAATTTAAGGAAGACAATAAAGTTTTTATTTTTATTTTGAACTCTGTCTCTGACTGTCCAAAAGCTACCCGGATAGTGACTCCTACGAGAGGTCATCACAACCATACTCTTCTCTATACTACGCTATTCTGGTCACCAGTCTCTGAAGATCTTCAATATTTTCGGATAAGATCACAATGTCGTCAGCATATGTAATGTTGTTAATGGGAACTCCATTTACCTTTATTCGAGCTGTTTCACCCTTAAGAGCGTTTTTCAGGATCTCTTCGGAGTAGGCATTAAAAAGAATTGGCGATAATACGCATCCCTGTCTCACTCCACATCTAATTTCAATTTTTTCTGACAGCTGTTCGTTAACAGGTACTTTTGCTCGCTGTGTATAGTATAAATTTGATATGATCCTGAGGTCGTTGTAGTCAACCTTCTTTGATTTCAGGACATTCATTAATTGTTTATGTCGTTCTTTATCGAATGCTTTATTATAGTCAATAAAACATGCGTATATACCTTGATTGACGTTCAGGCATCTTTGTATCAGTATATTAAGTGAAAAAAGAGCTTCCTAGCCCTTTGCGAAAACCAAATTGTGTAGCATTAACGTCTATGTCCAGTTTGTGATATATTCGGTTATGGATGACTTTAAGCAGTAACTTTAGCATATGAGACATCAGCTAATGGTGTGGTAATCGCTGCATTCTCTTGCGTTTTTCTTTTTAAGGCGTCAAAAAAAATCGATGTTAACCTAATCTTTTAGGAAATAAATAAAAGTTAACTCAATAAGTTTTTAAATAAGAATCATAATGCATTATACTATTAAAGCTTAAAATTGATTTTGGAATATTGATTGAAAAAAATATAAATCAAATTTTACATGCTCACACATAGGTTGGTTCGTGTTGAAACTTTTAAAATTTATATAAAAAATATAAAAATCATGCCAAATTATTATCACGCTTAATATGCAGTTCCTAAAAATAGAGTTTATATTAGATAAATTAAAACAAAGTAGAAATCAACGGTTTTCGAACTCAAAATTCAGATTATTTCTTAATTTTTGTTCATTTTAACAACTGATTTAGACTTTATATGCAATTATTGGAATGTAGGTTTCGACTTTTGTGTTTTTGGTAACGAGCAACGGTGAACAGGTTAAAAAATTTAAATACCTTGGAGCTACATTAAAAATAAGAGATCGCCAATAAGAGGAAGGAATGTATTGCCGTCAAAAGACAGACTACGAGGGCAAGCAAGAGGAAGAGGTAAAATAACCGAGTAAATAGTATACAATGCGCGAAAGAAGGAAGTTAACAGGAAGATCCGAGCCAAGAAGAACAGGGACTGGAGAGAACTGTATGACAAGTTGAATGGAACGTATGGGTCAAGGGTACAAAATCGTAATGAACTAGTTCAAGTTGTACCTTCTGTATGAGATGCCACTGGACAAAACACTGCTTAGGGTTGCCCGACAGCTGTTCGAGAACTAGCACTAAGTCCAGTGAGACACCGAAGCTAAACGAGCTGTACCTATTAGACATAGACAAACTCAATGAAGCATTGAGTGTCCTTAAAACACGAAAAGCTCCAGGACTCAATGTCCAGCAACTTGGAATATCTCGAGGCTCGTGCTAATCCCTAAGGCTAAAGACAAGTACTGTCTTAAATAGGTAAATTATACGAGAGAATTCTAAGAGGGCGAATCGACACAGCCATTTAAGAGACAGGAGGACTGTCATCCAGGCAGTACGGTTTCAGACAAAGCAGGAGCACGGTTGAAGCGGTGATGGGAATCTTCCAGGAGTTGCATAAGCTGGGGCTGATCAGAAGTGGACGATCGTACTTCTGTTAAACGTACGAAATGCTTTTAACAGCTTGAAATGAAAATTACGATAGAGGTGTCCGGGTTACTTGATGAATTTGGTCTCGGTTTGTCAGGGATTCTCTGGTGAAAATGTTGTTGATTTCCAGTTTATTTTTGCACACAACTTTGCTTGCAAAATAAAAGTTCACAACGATAATATTTTCGCCATTATCTTTAGTATTATCATGCTACTATGACTATAAGATAAGTATTGCGCATGTTTTGTGACGTCACTGGAGAGTTGCAGTTCGAAGTTTTTTGTATATATCAATAAATAATCTTTAATAAATAGTTTGGAGATATCCTTATGTGTACGATTATTGTAATTATTAAACCTCTTAACTTATTTTCGTCTAGTAATTTCATCACAGAATGCATACAAATCACATTTAACTTTAACAAGATTTCAAATTCTACTCTCCAATGACGGCATGCGCGAACCCGACCGATTTTGAGCCACGGAAGATCCTATCTTGTTATCATATATCATGAGTATTATATCTAAATTTACGAAATTTTCACCCTTTACATATTAGAACTAAAAATTTGTCATGATTTTTTTATGATTTCTTCAACACTGAGCCTACCTTTGGACTTAACGATGCCAATCCGAGTCTTACCCTTCTGGCGTTAGATGCAGCACTGGTAGTTGACATACTCGACATTAAAGATTCTTTAGAATTCATACGCTTTATACCGCTAGGTGGTAATCCGGCACCGTGTACTTGGCAAGAACCAGGCTTTATTTTTGAAGGAGATTTGCTTACTTTTGTAATGGGTGCGAACAGTCCGAAATTTGGACGACATTCGAAATACCTAAAACAAAAAAAAAACAGTCAACAAATCAATCACAAAAATTCTCTGTCCTATCGCTAATAGTGTAAGAGGAAGGATTAGCTATATTTTATTTTGAACCTACCTTTTTCCGTTAACAGAACCATCGTTTTTACCCCTAGGATCATCTAGCTCTACTCCAACCCATTCTCCAGCTGCAAATTCAGTAGCACCCATATACCTTACAGTACCCACTTTGGAGCCTTGACTACTTTTAATAATAACTCGATCTCCTATTTTGAAATCGATCACATGGGAAGCCGATGATATAAGACTTATGTTTGATCCACCTGCAACATAAACATGAGCTTCAATGATTTAAGTGGGGGGAAATGCAGTAACTAGACAAATTTACATAAAACTTAAACTTATAGTTTTATTACACTGTTTAACATTAATTATGCATAAAATGATTAATATTATGTAATCATCATCATCATCATCTTTGGCTCGACAATCCTCTGTGAATCTTGGCCTGCTCTAAGATTCGTCGCCATTCTGTTCGGTTTTTGGCAACATGTTGCCATCTTCTAATTTTTAATATTCGCGGTCGGCCTTTGCTTCTTTTCCTACAGGTGTTCCTGTGGTTAGCTTTTTAGCAATGGTATTTTCTGGCATTCGTATTATGTGTCCAGCCCATCTAAGTCGCTGTGTTTTAATGAACGTTATGACATCTAGCTCATCAAAGAGCTGATACAATTCAAAATTATATCTTCTGCGCCACTGCCCTTGGTCGTTTACAGCTCCAAATATTTTGCGGAGTATTTTACGCTCAAATATTCCCAAAAGTCTTTCATCTTTCTGCGTTAGAGTCCATGTTTCTGCTCCATATGTGAGGACCGGCCTCAGCAATGTTTGTAATTGTATATAATAATTTTAGTTCTTCTTTGAATGTTTCTTGAGTGGAAATGCTTTTGGAGTCCATAGTATGCCCTATTTGTAAGATTTATTCATCTTTTGATTTCTTCGCTTGTTTTATTGGTAGCAGTCAATAGCGACCCAAGGTATGTGAAGTTGTCAACACGTCCAAAGGTATGACTTCCAAAGACTGTTTCTCGTTCCTCATTTGCTATCGGATCCTTTGTAACCAACATGTACTTGGTTTTGTCTTCGTTGATGACTAGACCGACCTGTTTCGCCGCTGTTTCCAATTCTAGGAGATATTTCTCAACATCTCGCTTGCTACGCCCTACTATGTCAATGTCATCAGCATATGCTAAGACTTGTATCGATCTATTGTAAATAGTACCGCCATCCCTAATTCGTGTATCTCGGACTGCCTTTTTTAAGGCAATATTAAATAGGAGGCAAGCCAGAGCATCTCCCTTGTCTGAGTCCATCCTTTATCTCAAAGGATCTAGAACTCTCTCCCTGTATTCTAACAGTGGTTTCTAAGTTAGACATTGTCATTCTCGTTAGTCGGATAAGTTTCTCTGGTATACCAAACTCATGCATTGATTGGTATAGCACTGTTCTCTTGACACTGTCGTATGCGGCCTTGAAGTCGACGAATAGGTGATGGGTTTCAATATTGAATTCTAATGTTTTCTCGAGAATCTGTCTTATTTGAATGAATCTGGTCAATTGTTGATTTTTCTGGAGTGAATCTAACTTGATATTACCAACTATGCCCACTGTGTAAACTTGCAACTTTCGTAGAGAATATTTGCTAGTATTTTGTAAGCAGTTGTTAACAGGGTTATACTCTATACTTGTCACACTGGAGCTGGTCACCTTTTTTATGTAACGGGCATATCACGCATTGAGACCATTCACAAGGAATGGTCTCATTATGCCAAACAAGAAGTAAAAGCTTATGCAGTGTCTGTAGTAGGGTATCGCCACCATTCTTGTAGAGCTCACTGCAAATTTGATCAACTCCTGGTGATTTATTATTTTTAAGCTTTTTAATGGCTTGGGCAACGTATTTCGATGGTAGGTGTGTCTTTCGTTTTGGGTTGAAAGGATTCCAATCATTTCGATTTGCTAGGGTGTTATCTGCTTCTTCGATATGATGGCCATTAAATTTTGCATCGAAAAATTCAACCCATCTGTTTAGGATTGAGGCCCGTATCATTTAGGATGTTTCCTTCTACATCCTAACAGCTCCTTATTCTTGGCTTAAACTCTTTGCGCATTTTGTTTAGGTTTCTGTAGAACTTTCGAGTTTCATTTTGATTTCTTAGCCATTCTGTACTTTCCAATTGCTTTTGGAATTTTGCATTTTTTTTTCTTTTTTTTTTCTTTTTTCTCTTATCAATATTATGTAATAGAAAACCTAATATTACTGAAAACTATACTTTGAACAGCATAGATTTCATCATTATAACGGAGCGGCAGAAAAACCAGAAAAGAAGTACGAGAGTTTCTATCAAGAGATCAAACAGCTAATGAAGATCACAAAGAAAAAATGCTGTGAATATTATTATGGGAGATTTTAATGCCAAAGTAGGTGAAGGGCGGACCGAAGACGTAGTAGGAAACTTTGGTTTGGGCCAAAGAAATGATAATACTGGTCCAATTTGCCAAGAAGAAAATCTAATGATCGCAAAAACCTGGTTTAAACAACCAAAAAGAAGATTATATACATGGAAAGCACCTGGCGATAATCAAAACCGCATAATAAGAAATCAGATTGATTATATTATATTAATTGACAAACTTTATAGAAATGGAATCAGGGGAGTTAAAGCATATCCCGGGGCAGACATCGGTACCGACCATAATCCTGTTGTTGGTAAAATTTCAATTAAACTGAAGACAATCAAATACAGAGAGAAGATAAAACCTAGCCTCGAAACACTTAAAGATCCAATAGTACAGGCAGAAATAGAGAAAACACTCAATGATACACTCAAAGAAAAGTTCAGTGAAGCACCGCGGAAGTAGAAGAAACAATAGAAAGTATTTGGCACACCTTCAAACAACAATCACAACTATACAAAGAGAAACAACTACAAGACAACATCACAAAAACAAAGAATACATGGATGACAGAAGAAGTCCTAGAACTGATGGACATAAGGATATCTTACAAAAATCGCAATGAAGAAAAATATAAAGAAACCCAGAGAATCATCCGAAACAAAATCAGGAAAGCCAAAGAAGAATGGATGAGCAGCAACTGTGAGAAACTGGGAGATTTACTAAAAAAGCGTACAAAAAGATTAAGGAAGTCACAAATACGAAGAAAAAAATCACTACAACAATTTTAGTACATGATAACAACCAAACAGTATCTAGTCCAGAAAATGTAGAAGATATGTGGGAAAAATACATCAAAGATCTGTTTGATGACGAGACAACAGAACCACAAATGAATATAGTACAAGAAACAATACTTGATATATTATAATCGGAAGTTACAAAAACAATCAATACGGCAAAGCCACGAAAAGCCCCAGGTCCAGAGGAAATATACCAGAGATCTATATGTTTGTATCTATAACAATTATATAGAACCAGTACAAAGATTCCAGTATCTTGGTTGCTGGGTAAGCTAGGTCCGCATTTCAACGAATGAAAAAATTCCTAATAAACTCTACGTTATCGTTGGATATCCGATACCAATTTGTAAAAAACGTTTATTTATTCCATATTGCTATACGGAGTGGAAACATGGACTCTTGGAATTACAAGTATGAGGCGTATAGAAGCCTTTGAGATGGGGATTTTTCGAAGGATGTTGAAGATCTCTTGGACAGAAGACTTATAATGGAAGGGAAAGTGGATCTCCAGGAAGAAGCAAATCCTCCTGGTTGAAGAATGTAAGAGACTGGACAGGCACGGACACACATTCGATACTAAGAATGTAGCATTTTCAATTTCATTGATTCTTTTAAGTATATTGAAGTCCCTCGTATACGAAATATTAAAATCACCTTATATATTTTTGATAGATCTAAAAATATTTCGTACGTATTTAAACCCAAATATCTTTTCATTTCTTTCTTAGGTCGGCCAAGTTGAAATAAACCATTTTAGAGTTGTTTATTTATTTTAACTCCTCGGCAAATTCTTGTTTTATTACAAGCGCAATTTAATGCGTCGCAAAAGGATATGTACGTCGTTTCGTGGTGTCTTGTTATGTCAGCGTTTGTATGTATGCGTTCAATTTTAATAGAATTTCTTCACTCTCGTTGGAGCAGCTTTCAAGAGCGGTTCAGCGTTATGTCCAAATTCACGTCGAATTTGTAAAGTATTCTGTTTTCGTCTTTTGTTATGAAGAAATGTAGCAGTTTGTTATTGGTTTTGTGGCAGTAAATGCTTCAATTATTAATGTTTTGAGTGAGGATTGGAGGACATCCTCGTTTTGTTTTTTTTGTTCCTGTTTTTATCCAAGGCTTTTGGCAGTTTGGAGATGGAGGTTTTCGTGATGCAGAGAGAGTGGAGCCCTCAGTTCCAGGTTCCAGTTATGGTTTCAGAAACTTAAGTGTGATCATGTGAATTAAGGTAACATTTTGTTCAAATTTTAAACTAAAGACAGACATTTTTTTATAAAATAATAATTGCTTTCGTTGACATTTAAAATTGTAAATTTTAGGTTTTGAGTAAAGCTGTCAATTTGTGTTTAGTTTTTTTTGAAATTTAATGTTAATTTATGACAGCTCGTTTTAGTATTTTTGATGTTGATTTGTTTTGTTTTTTTTTTAAAGGTTAACCTCCATGCAATTTTGTAAGTTTTGTAGCAATGGAGTTTGTTAATGGATGACACATGTAAGTTTTTGAATTTTGTATTTCTCCATGTAACTGTTTGTGGTGACACATAAATAAATGTTAAATTTTGTTGTCTTTAACTTTTTATTTATTTTTTTGAGCCAAACCTTTTTTGATTCTTATTTGAAAAAGATATGTTTTTTATGTTTTGATTTTGTTTTCTAATTATTTCCCTAGTTACAACTAGTGGTTGTAATAGGCATAATTAGGCACCTCAAGTGGCGCCCTATATTAAATTCCTTGAGGTGTTTCTTGTTTTATTTTTATTTTGTTTATCCCAAGAGCCCTTTATTTCATTTTTTTGTAGTTGCCCCATTCTAATCCCTTTATCTTTTTACTTATCCACGACCCCAGCTCTCCTACGAAACCCTGAGTGCCGTTCGCATCAGTAGCGATTATTTTGCTTGCCCTATCTCAACCCCCAATAGTTTTTTCCCCCAATTTTCTATCTCCCGTATTAATGCCCCCTGTGGTAGGCAAAATATTATCGTTACAAGAACAGCTCAAGATAGAGAGCAATTTGCTGTAGTTATAGCCAACCTTCAGTAATTGAGAAGGCACCTTAAGAAGAGTACTTGGGTTAAGAGTCCGAGAAGGAATTGAACAGATTGCACTGAAAGTCCTATTACCAACTCTATCATGCTAGATTTATACAGTTGGATTATAAAAGAAATTTGCGCAATTTTGGGGCATTAATGAATCAAAACCTGTGAGAATTGCTTACGCGTAGTAGACCGAAGAGAATAAGGGCGGCCGTTAGAAACATCTTTTATTAGCTGACCCGCGTAGCCAGAGGAAATAATTTTAACTCCCCAAAAGATAGTCTATGAATATATCAAGAGCAAGGGACTTCCTGGTGAAGTTTAACGAGAATAATGAAAAGGAAAGATTTGGTACAACTGTATTACGACCAGGTGCCAAAAACAAGAAGTGCTTTGCCTGAGATAAGGAGAAGAAAAGTAGTTGTTGAGATAAAAAAGACAGCTCTTACAGTGATTGAACAAAATATGTACCCCATTATTTTTACTATCGACACCCCTCTTTATCTAAAACAAAGTTAAGTTCGTCTTCAGCGCATATCAAGCGCAAATCTACCCATTCCTGAACATGACTTCCTCAGAGGAAGTTCAAACTTAAATCGCTCTAGAAATTGCTATCGTTCTACATATGAATAACATTTTATACTTACTTATAGATACGGGAGATTTTAGAAGACCATGAGTACTACCAGTGGGAGAAATCGAATTCCTTATAACGTTTTCTGGTGATGGAGTAGTAGCATAGCTAACACCTTCTAAAGGTTCTTTTGTTAGTCGAGTTAATCTCGAAAATACGCCTTTCTTGGCTTCACATTGAAAATATCTTATACCATTAACAGATCCATCATTTTTACCTGAAAATAACAGAACAATTGATTAAAAAATAATATTCTAATAGAACAATTTAATAAAAAACTATATTCTTTTAAGAAATGTTTTAAATTGCATCTGGGGGATATAGAAATTTTCGTGCCAAAAATATAGCAACAGCTGCTGAAACGTGGAAATAAACTTATGAACTAGGCAAATTTGCATTAATGTAAAGAGATCCGGTAGAATTTGGGAAACATAAAATTGGCAATTCCTTTCAAATACTTGTAAGTATTTTCTTTCCTTTGATGGAAATAGCAATTACATCCATGTATTCGAATATTCCAATCATTGAGGAAGGATTTCTTTGTCCACATTTCTCTTATTGCGTGTTTAGACATTGGTATCAATTGATGGATTCGACCGTTACTTGATGGAAATTTATTTTATGTAACAATTAAACACTGAAAACTTTGTTTTCAAACTTCTACAAAATTTATTTTAAACTTTATCACTACAGCTGTTTCGGCTGATTGCCTTTCTCAAGTGATCTATTTTTGCCATTCGTTTACACTTTATAGTATCTAATAAAATATGTTGAGGAGGGGAGAACTGTTTGTCTCAAGTTGGCCATTCAGAATTATTCAGTAGACGACGTACTAGTATGTTTTACAGGAACTAACAGACAACTCGACCAATTTTTATTGTATATTAATTCACTTCATAGTCATATTGAAGTTACAATAGAAACAGAACAAAATCAATCCATACATTTTTTAGATTTAAAAATTATCAGACTTAAAAACAAACAGAACTTCTCCATATTTCATAAACCTACCCATACTGACACGACTATACACAATTCATCATCCCATCAAACACAACGCTTATCATAGTATGTTACATAGATTAATAGACATTCCGATGTCAAAATACAACTTTGAGACAGAATTAAATATCATTAAGCAAATAGCAGTAAACAACGGATACAACGAACAAACAATTAATAAAATACTAAATCAAAAACTACACAAGAAAGCCCTGAAATTAGTATTTCCACCACCAGAGGAAAAACCCAGTACCTTCTGCTCGATTACATATACAGGCAAAATATTAACAAAAATAGCCTAACACATAAAAAACAACACGAGCCAAAATAAAAAAACACTTACACAGTGGTGTGTACAAACTTAAATGTGGCGACTGCCCAAATCGGTCAAACTGGTAGAAACTTTAATAAACGAATAGCAGAACATAAAAGGGCCTTCAATAATAGAAAAACAGATTCTACATATACGCACTTCACCTTTTAGATCATAATCATTCTTTTAATGACGAATTAAAAATTCTTCACATTCAAAATAAAGGCCTTAAGCCATCTTTGTTAGAATCTATGGAAATCAACAAATTAAAAAACACAGATATAATTCTGAATGACCAACTTGAGACAAACAGTTCTCGCCTCCTCAACCTAATTCATTAGAGGCTATAAAGTGTAAACGTATGCCAAAAATAGATCACTATAGAAAGGCAATCAGCCGAAACAGCTGTAGTGATAATACTTTAAAATAAAATTTTGTGGAAGTTAGAAAACAAAGTTTTCAGTGTTTTATTGTTACATTGATAATAGTTTACAATTTTTATGTTGCCTCGAGATTACCCACAAATTCTTGAAATATGGTGAGATTACGACCAGTTATTGTACATATTCCTTCTTCTTCTTCTTCCTACTTTATAAATAGGCTTGATGCTTATTTTACTTCGGTTTTTAGCCTCTATTGACGTTGTATGACCATCTTTTCCTCGGTCGTCCCAATGATCTTCAATTTGGCGATTTGTCTCTTGCTATTCTATTTTCTGTCATTCTTTCGATGTGTTGATTCCTTTCCACTTTTCTTTTTTTGGTCCACGCGTTTATTTCCTCTATACCACATCTCACTCGTATTTCCTCACTTCTTACTCTGTCTCTTAGAGTTTGGTTTGTTATTTTTCGTAAGTAGTATAGTGATAATTAGTATAGTATAGTAATCTGATAATTTATTTATCAGAAATTTAAAACCTTTGAGTTGATATACTAGTAATATAAAGAAATAAATAACATACTCACCAATTGCTTCATCTAATGCGATACCAGCCCACTCTCCAGGAGCAAATTGTGTTTCACCAATAAAAGCAATATGCCCAGGTTTCGTCCCAGAAACCCAAACTTTTTGTCCAATTATAAAACTGTCAGTGTCTTCCGTCAGAATAGTACTGGAATCTGTTTATAAATTACACATAAAATATATAAAATAAAAAAAGTAAACAAATATATCTGTTATCGCTACTATTAAATAATACATATAATATAATGTATACAAAACAAAGTATATATTTATGTTATAAGAAATGTATGAGCCATTACCCATGAATTAGTAAAAAGAGTACGATAAGATCTTTTGGTCGCGGTTTATTACGGGGTTAAATGCTAATAGCTAAGAGTTTAATCATTATTTACAAACAGCTTCCTTTAATTTTACTTTTTGTGTGACATGGAATGTCATTTTATTACTTTTATTCGAACAATATGAAAGTCATGAGCTCTGCGACAACAAAATCATTTTTTTGTACATCACAGACTCAATGATATAAGAAATAAAAACTAAGTGGCTAATGCCTTGTAAGTAAAAAACAAAAATATTTGAGTATTTTCCCAAACGATTATCGCCTTCATGGTCTCCTCAAGTACACAAGACAATCAACTACTATTGTTAAGTGTCTAACCACACTACCATTTTGCACTCGATCACGTATAAGAGAGGCAATGAAGTACTAAACCAAACAGTTTTTCGCAGCATCAGCATGACGAATTGATATTCAACTTCCTCGATTCGGGGGAGTATCAAGAAATTCAGGAAAATAGAAGTCGCTGAACACGAATATCACGATGACGACGATTTCCGAGCTACCTGGTGCCCAGGGTGGTCTCGTCTCCTGAAATTTTTGTGTTGATTTCACTTAAAATCAGTCAAAAGTCATTATATGGGGGTTCCTGCGGCCGCTGATCCATGACGCCAATATCCCCGAAGTACCTAGTGTCCAGGGTGAACATCGTCTACTGGAGTTTTATGTTATTTTCAATCAAAAATCATTATTCGGAGCTTTTGGGATCGCCGAACACGAAGATCATGACGCCGATGGGTAAGTATCCGATATTCATAAAAGCTGGTAAAAACGCCTGGAAATATCTGGAGTATTACATCATTTAAACGGGTATTTTAAATTGTTTATTTAAGATTTATAATAAAAGTGTAGTATTGTTGATAAAATGCGTTAGGCTTTCACGGCCATCGCCCAACTAGTTAAACTGTTTATTCCTGCTGTTAGACTGTTGTCTTCTGAGATTAGTTCTCGACGTTTCATCAACACTAGGGGTTGGCTTCTTTTGGAGATGCTACTGCTTCGCTTGTAAGCTGAAACTGACTACGGCGGCCATATTTATATTTTCTATTTGTCTCCCTCCACTAGTGAAGGGATAAGGGGGCGTGTCGTCGTTCGTTGCTTTTCTTGCTTCGTGTTTTGCGGGAAGAGTGTTTGTGGATTTTAATATTGGTATCCATGTTTTGTTAATTTCTAGTCCTTCTTCTATCCGATTAAAATTATTTGGATGCTTAATTATTCCCACAGCTTCCCGATATAACCGAGAGTAGTACTGTGATGTTTTATTCAGCATCTGCGTTTCTTCAAAGAGTATCCGATGTTCTCCGCTTCCCAAAGCGTATTCGGTAACGCCAGATTTATCGATATGTCCTAAACGACAATGGCTTTTATGTTCGTTTATCCTTGTGTTTGTGTGTCTTTTCGTCGTTACCGCATATACCATTCCACATGTGCATGGTATTCGGTATACTCCGGCCGTTGCGAATGGGTCGCCTTTGTCCTTCACTGATCTTAGACAGTCCTTGATTTTCTTTGTAGGCTTTAAAATGGTCTTTACATTGGCTTTTATAAGTATTTGCCCAATTCTGTCTGTTACCCCCGATATATAGAGCAAGAAGGCTTTGCCTATACATCCTGTTTCTTCGTCATTTTTTCAAGAAACGTTGTTAATTGCTTTATGTATTTCTCTTCTGGTATATCCATTAGAGGTGAGCGATTTTTAAATATGTCGAAGTTCACTTTGTAGATGCTGTGGTTCACAAATTCTCTTCACCCTCTCCGCCAGAGTTTTGATGATACCTTGTTTTTGGCCTGGATAATGATTTGAGTCTCTGTTTAGGTATCTGTCGGTATGTGACAGGTTAGGTTTTCGATACACTTTATGTCTTAAATAGCCTTTTTTTCGATTTACCAACACATCTAGAAACGCTAGTTGTTGATCATTCTCTGTTTCCATCGTAAATTGAATATTTGGATGTGGTGTGTTTATATAAGACAGGAAATCGTTAAGTTTTTCTACTCCGTGACCCCAAATCACAAAAGTGTCATCGATGTACCTAAACCATACCCTTGGCTATCATCGCTAATATCGAGTCAGTGATTCTTAAAATCTAATACCGTCATTATGTTTTATTTCTTTACTTCGTTTGGAGTACCAGAAACTGAATGCACTACGAATTTTGATCATGATGAACGGCATGTGGAATGCAATTTTTAGATTCCCTTGTCGAACAATTTATCAAGCTGTTTGCTTTGCAAGTTTTAGGAAGCACAGTGGTAAAAATTTGAATTCGGTTTCGCCAGGTAGAAATCGTATGATTTCTCTTTTTGTTTTTTAATTTTTTTTGCTTTATTCTACCTGAATTATTTTAGTTTCTCCTAGACAAAAATCCCAAAATGTAGTTATGTTACTTTCTTTAGAAATTTATATAACCGATTAACTTTACCCTCAATTATCTCAAAAGACTTTAATGCTAAGTTAGGTAGAGGAAAAGTTTCTGGATTGATCGGAGACTTCGGACTTGGAGCAAGGAACGACAGGGGAGAGAATGACCGAATTCTGCCAACAATACAACATGATAGTGACAAATACATGGTTTAAATTACACCCTCGCAGATTGTACACTTGGACTTCACCACAACACAATGAAAACAGAGTAATCCGTAACCAAATAGATTACATATTGATCAACAAAAGATATCACAATGCAATCATCAGTGCAAAAACATATCCTGGAACTGACATCAAATCCGATCATAATCCTGTTGTTGCAAAAGTTCGCGCAAAATGGAAACTAATAAAGAAACAAAAACCTCAACACCAACTATTAGACATCCAATTATTGAAAAAACGACACCATACATCAGACAGTAAATAAAGAATTAAACAAAAATTTAGGAAATACCGACCACAATAGAATTAGCGAGTACGATGACATACACGTTCTGTGGAAAACTATTAAAGAACAAATGAACAATGTAACGGAAAAACATCTAAAAGTAATACCTACAAATAACAAACAGGAATGGGTGACAGAAGAGATTTTACAATTAATGAACAAACGAAGAGAATCTAAAGGAAAAAAATGACAAGGACGGAGAATACAAAAGATTAAATAGAATAATTCGAAAAAAAAAATAACCGAAGCAAAAGAGAAATGGCTGGAAACAAAATGCGTAGAAATAGAAGAACTGCAACAAAGGCACGATTTTTTTAATTTACATAAAAAGGTAAAAAAGTTTACATCGACTACCAAGAGAACGACTTTTCACACCATGCTGAACACGGATGACAAACTGCTAGAATCAACGGAAGATAAACTGAAAGAATGGGAAAACTATATTAAAATTCTTTTTCACGACATACGAGAAGAACCAAGATTGGAAAATAACAACGAAGGGCCAACAATTCTGAAATCTGAAATCATAAATGCAATTAATCATCTCAAAACAAATAAAAGTCCAGGTCCAGACGGAATATACCCAGAAACGTTCAAATTAATCAGCGAAGAAAATATCGAATTATTTGTCCTTTTATTCAATCGCATTTATGATACAGGTAAAATACCCCAAGATTGGCTGGAGTCAATATTCATCCCACTACCAAAAAAGCCAAACCCACAACACTGCAATGAGTTCCGTATGATAAGCCTTATGAGTTATGCAGTAAAAGTCCTACTAAAAATCGTACATAATCGTATCTATAGAAAGTGCGAAACAATCATCGGAGACGATCAGTTTGGATTCAAAGCCGGCATGGGAACGAGAGAAGCCCTGTTCAGTTTACTAGTTCTCGCCCAAAAATGCTACGACCAACAGAAAGATATATTTATATGCTTTATAGACTTCGAAAAAGCATTTGATAGAGTAAGACACGACCTACTATTAGAACGTTTGCAAGAAGTCGGTTTAGATAGAAAAGACATCAAATTCTTAAAAAACTTGTACTGGAACCAAAAGCCAGAGTTAGGATCGAAGGTTCCACATCCGCAGAAGTAGAAATTAGGAGGGGAGTTAGACTAGGATGTGTTCTGTCGCCTCTGCTGTTTAATCTTTACTCCGAGTTTCTATTTAAAGAAGCATTGGAGGATTCCAAGGATGGAGTCAAGATGAATGGCGTAAATATCAACAGTATCAGATACGCCGATGATACAGTGTTAATTGCGGATTCCGACTCAGGTCTACAACGACTCATCGACAAGACCAACTCGACCTGTGAGCAATTTGGTATGAAAATAAACATTAAAAAATCCAAAGTGATGTCAATCCGAAAAAACCAAAACGTACCTCAACCTTGCACAATAAATGGGCACATCTTAGAACAGGTCAATAGATTTAAGTACCTGGGATGTTGGATCGATAGCAGCCTAAATTCTGATCAAGAAATAAGATCGAGAATAGAACAGGCCAGAAAATCTTTCGAAAAAATAAAAAAACTGCTTTGTGATTCTCGAATAAAGCTCTAAATTCGACTACGTTTATCAAAATGCTACGTCTGGTCGACTCTTCTATATAAAGTTGAAACGTGGACCCTTAAAACATCAACCGTAAATAAATTGAAGGCCTTTGAAATGTGGATCTACCGGAGAATACTCAAAATTTCATGGACCTCGCATACCTCAAACGAAGAAGTGCTGCATAGAATAGGCAAGGAAAGAGAACTTTTTAACACAGTAAAAGTTAGAAAAACATCATACCTAGGCCACATACTGAGAAATAATAAGTACCAATATACCCAACTTATAGTGAAAGGAAAATCGAGGGAAAGAGAGGCCTAGGAAGGAAAAGACTATCGTGGCTCAGAAACATCCGACAATGGACAGGGCTAAATTTTGAATAGCT